ACTTCCCAGTTGTCTGCTCTGGTTTAATATTTCTCTTTTTGCAGAAGTATAATCAAGTTCCCTTTGGGACAAAAAAGATCATTTTCTAATGCCCACAATTTTGATGCTTTATATTGTTTCACTCTAATAGGTAATTCTGAAATGGATATCAGGCATTGAGGTCAATTACAGAGTTCAAAGATTAATCATATTTCATTTTCTTTCCACAGTTAAGTTGCTTTTACAGAATTAACAGGTCTCCAAGAAATAAAAGGAAAAGGTAAGACATCAGAGTTTCAGGCTTTGCACAGCAGTGTGACAAAAGCAGCTAGATTAGTGCATCTTTGTACTCACTGCTTCTGTTCTTTATGTGGCAGCCGTGTATCCTGAGCAGAACTGTACACTGACCATAGATGGCTTTTCTGAATATGTAAACTATTGTGGTTAGTAGAAGACAAGCCAGTAGGAGACATGCTTCTAAGAGTCTGAAAGTAGTTTGGTCTGGTTGTGAAACAGCATTTGGCAGACTTAAAAAGAAAGAGTTGATATTTTTGATGTTCCTATTGAACAGGATAGGTGACGTGAAATGTTACTTTAAGGCAGTTGGTTTATTTGTAGGTTTAGATAGGAGAAAGCGTATTTGTTTTAAGAATAAGATAAGATCAGGTTTTTTTTTTTTTTGTGAACTAGTATCTTGTTTCCATTTATTAATGCTGAAGGAAGCAGGAACCAGGTAATTATTAAGCTAGTTTGCGCTAAGGTACTGCAAAAATAAGACTTGCTATTATGTGTACCTTTTTGTCTGCAGGTCATTATTGCTGTGGTTTGAGCTCAGCATGGCTGTAGTCATCCGTTTACTGGGGCTTCCTTTTATTGCGGGGCCTGTGGATATCCGTCACTTCTTCAAGGGATTGACTATTCCTGATGGAGGAGTGCATATAATTGGAGGGAAAGTTGGGGAGGCTTTTATTATTTTTGCAACAGATGAAGATGCGAGACGTGCCATAAGTCGTTCAGGAGGGTTTATCAAGGATTCATCTGTAGAGCTTTTTCTTAGTAGCAAGGCAGAAATGCAGAAGACCATAGAAATGCAAAGACCTGTTCGTGGAGGAAGAGGGCGACTGGGATCAGGGGCTTCCGGGGTTGGCAACCTGTACCATTTTATTGATGCTATGAAGGAAGAGGAGAGTTATTCTGCATATGGCTCTTCAATTAATCAAGATGCTGGGTTTCATACTAATGGTACAGGACTTGATGTAAGGCCAAGAAAGACCAGGCCATCGAAGGCTGAGAACCCTTACTTGTTTCTACGAGGTTTGCCTTACTTAGTAAATGAAGATGATGTACGTGTCTTTTTCTCTGGTTTGTGTGTGGATGGAGTAATTTTCTTAAAACATCATGATGGCCGAAATAATGGTGATGCTGTAGTAAAATTTGCTTCATGTATTGATGCTTCAGGAGGTCTTAAATGCCATAGAAGTTTCATGGGTTCAAGATTTATAGAAGTAATGCAGGGCTCAGAACAACAGTGGATTGAATTTGGTGGTAATGCAACTTCAGGTGGTGGCATTCCTCGTATGAGAGCTGAAGACCATTCTCCTCCCAGAGGGGTTAGTGATAGGCACTTTCGAAAACGGTCTCATTCAAAATCCCCTAGAAGAACGCGTTCTCGCTCCCCTCTTGGATTTTATCTTCACTTAAAAAATCTGTCCTTAAGTATTAACAAAAGAGATTTAAGAAATTTCTTTAAACATACTGACCTGTCTAATGAGCAGATTAAGTTCTTATATAAAGATGAACGAAGAACACGGTATGCCTTTGTGATGTTTAAGAATCTAAAAGACTATAATACTGCCCTGGGCTTGCATAAGACTGTTTTACAATATCGGCCAGTTTTTATTGATCCAATCTCTAGGAAACAAATGATGAAATTCATTGAATGCTATGAAAAGAAGAGACCAGGGTCTATAGAGAAAGGAAGGCCTGGGCGTGTTTCACAGAAGTACTTTGAAGAAGGCTACTCTGGGCAGAAGCTGTATATATATATAAGAAATTTTCCATTTGACGTTACGAAAGTTGAAGTGCAGAAGTTCTTTGCGGACTTTTCCCTTGTTGAGGATGACATTTATTTGCTTTATGATGACAAAGGAGTTGGTTTGGGAGAAGCACTGGTGAGATTTAAATCAGAAGAGCAGGCTATGAAAGCTGAACGTTTAAACCGAAGAAGATTCTTAGGGACAGAAGTGTTGTTAAGACTTATATCTGAGGTACAAATGCAGGAGTTTGGTGTAAATTTTCCCTTTATGTGCAATGAGAAAACACAAGCTCGTTCCCAGTCACACAGCAGAGATGACCGTTCCCGTCTGTTTGACTTAAAAGACTCACCAGTATGTTCACTTGGCCGGTCTGAAAGCGTTGGTTACCAGCCAGAAGACTTAAGGCATCCCCACAGGTATTTCCAACAGTCTGACAGGCACCCTCCAGAAGACTTCCGACACTCTCCTGAGGACTTCCGACATTCTCCAGATGACTATAGACACCCCCAGGAGGAACACATCAGGTGCTCTAGGGAGGAAGACTGGAGACGGCCTCTGGAGGATTGGAGATGGTCCCCGGAAGATGATTTCAGGCACTCTCATGAGAAAGATTTTAGGCCGCTACCAGAGGAGGATTTCAGATACCCTTGGGAGGAAGACTTCAGACGGCCACCTCAGGAGCACTTCAGGAGGCCATCCCAGGAACACTTTAGACGGCCACCCCAAGAACATTTCAGGCTTTCCCGAGAGGAGTATTTCAGGCATGTGGCAGATGAAGACTTTAGACACCCTTCTGATGAGGACTTCAGGACCCCCCAAGAAGAAGATTTGAGATGTCCCACTGATGAGGACTTCAGGCAGCTCTCTGAGGAAGACCTTAAGGAAGTACCAGAGGAGGACCTTAGATTTCCTGATAGTTTTAGACCTCCTGGTGAGGATTTTTGGACCTCGCCTGATTTCAGAGGTCACCGTCCTTTTATAAACTTTGGTCACTTAGAAAGTGGCAAGTTTGATTTTGGAAAGCATAATATGGGATGTTTTCCTGAGGGAAGATTTATGCCTGATGTAAAATTAAATTGTGGTTCAGGTAGAATAACTCCTGTTAAGATCATGAATCTTCCATTTAAAGCCAATGCTAATGAAATTTTAGACTTTTTCCATGGTTACAAAGTCATACCTGACTCAGTTTCCATACAGTATAATGAGCAAGGGTTACCCATAGGAGAAGCCATTGTTGCTATGATAAATTATAATGAAGCTATAGCTGCTATTAAAGAACTAAATGGTAGACCAGTCGGTCCCCGCAAAGTTAAGCTCATTTTGCTTTAGAGAGCCTTTCTGAGTCCATAGTTTTCTTCCACAGTATTAATGCAGTAAAAATACAGCTTCTTAGTTTATTTTTAATTATCTAATTAAACATTTTAATTTTAACCTGTGAATAGACAAAATGTTGTGTAAATCTAGTTTTCCTTTGCTTACAAATGGACATTCTTTTTCTCCCTAATTTAAAATTACATATGCTTTTTTTTTTTTTTTTTTTTTGCTAGGGGAGAGAAAACAAATTTCCTGAATTCATTAGTTTCACTGATGTTATGGATAAACCCCAGTCTTGTGAACTGTGGAGTTATGTTGGGGGAAGGTAAATTTAATTTTGTTTTCATCATCTTTTACTCAGACTGTGTAAGGAAAGGATGGATGACTGATGGTTCAGATCTGGCACTTTCATTGCTACCTGCCTGCAGACCTCCCTTTTGTTTGAGATACTGTGTTAAGGTCTCCTATTAACTCTAAATAGTTCAGAAAATGAACATACTGTGAACTTGAAATTTACTTATGTGAAAGGCTTAGGAAATTCTCAAAATTTGTGTTCATAACTTTGAAAAGTTTTATAAAAATAAAATTGCAACTGAAATACTTATTAACTTGTATTTGTATAACAAGAGCAAAGACAGAATCGCAGCTGGGTATTATAAAATTTCTCAACAGTTATATTAAAACAATACGGTGAGCGGGACCAAATAATCTGTAATAATAACGTACAGGTCTTTGATTTCTTCAGCGTCATTTTATTCTAAGCACTGGGGCCTAGGGCTTCTCCTAGATTGCTAAGATTAACACAGTGTCCAGAGGACAGTAAAATAATTTGTTTAGGGTTAAAGGGGGACTCTCAGGCTGGGAAGAATATGACAAATGAATATAGTTTTTTCTAGGAAGAACTTACTGGTGACTCATTAGGTTTCCTTTTTAGCTTCAAAACTTTGTATTTATTTCCAGACTCACTAAATAGAAGATTTCTGAGTGTGAATTTTTGACTTTGATACTGAATGTTTATATTTTGCTTATACTTAGATTTTTCCTTTCCCACAATAATAGAAATAGCTGACAATGGACACATAATTTATTAGGCAATAAATGCTTTATATGTATGATCTCTATTGTCTCTATTTCACGAATGAGAAAAGAAGTTTAGAGAGGTTAAGCAAGTTGCCCGAAGTCACACGAAGTTAGGGAACCAATTTCAACACCTATAAGCAGACTTCTGATTATACTATGTCCATAAATATTTTTGCTGTGTCACTTTGTTACATGGAATTTTTAACTTCAGTAAGACCATGATAAAAATATTTTCAGGAGTAAATTATATTTTCTTCTGTTTTGTTTTTAAAGGTGCATTTAAAGTACGATTAAAAAGTATGATACTTAAACATTGTAAGCTAAATTAAAGAGAAAAATGACTTAAGATTTTATAGTTTCTCTTGGGATACATTATATATATTGGCTTCCAATTCAAAATTCTCCATTTTATCTAATTTGATTTACAATTTTTATAGTTTATATGAAACAAAGTTTTACCTACTTTCTTCATCCAGACATTTCCCTCACTGAGTAATTGTGAATAAAATATTTAGCTATTGCAGAAGTAAAAAACTTTCAGTATCTTGAATTAACATTCAGTAATTTAAAGAAATCTAAGAGAAGCCTGCATAAGTTTTTGTTTTTAATATTTAATGTCATTTTTAATAGTTAATAATTAAATAGAATAAATTGATAAAGTTTGTTGAAAAAAAACCGTGAATCTTAAAACTAATAACCTTTTACAGGTAGAATGAAAAATGTGAATAACTAAGTCAAGCAGAGTGATTACACAGATGGTTCACGTGATCAGACCTGTCAGACTGTAAATACTTTCCAGACCACTACACCGTGATACAGATAAGATAAAGCTTAAAGTGAAAGATATTGAGTATGTAATTGCTTCTCAAATTAGGCTCGGGTGGGATGGGAGTGGTGGACAAGAGACTAGCTGGGAAACACAGCACTATGTCTTGATTCTTATTTATATTTTATATGTGTGAGTGATTTGCACGTATGTATGTGTACCATGCGTCTGTGGAGCTGAGAAGAGTGCATCAGATCCCCTGGAACTGGAACTACAGACAGTTGTGAGCTCCGTTGTGAGTGCTAGGAACTGAATCTCCGCAACAGCAGTGTGGGCTCCTAACTGCTGAGCCACCTCTCCATTCCCATGCCTTGATTGTCAAATGAAGTACTGTGGCTATTTTATCTTGGTTATCAGGCTCAATTCACATTTAGTGTGTTACTGGCTAGTGTTTGAGAATGGTGTCTTGTTTAAACACTTTTCAACTTTTTTATGAGGTAAGGTCTCACTGAAACTTGCTAGATTGACTGGCCAGCAGCCCCAGGGTCTTCCTGGATTTGCCTCCTCAGCACTTTCAGGCCTTAGGGTTGTGCAGCACGTTACTGACTGAGCCATCTGGGTCAGCTCCAGGTTTAATATTTTGTAAACTTCATTATAAAAATTTATAGAAAACTTGTTTCCTAAACAGTGGTATGGGAGCCGTTTTTTGCACATCTTTCTAATACTGCCTTGAGTAACATGTTGATTTAACTTCAGTTGGCCATGGTAGTAGCTAATATTTATACCAAGTCAGAGATTTCCCTTGTTTGCCAAGCCCAGGGAACTGTACACTACAGTTTCAGACACATGAACAAAGAGTCCTAAAGCTTCATGTTTTGATCACCCAGCTTCAGTAATTCCATGGGCAAGTCTTCTTTCTCCCAACAGAAGGTACACTGGGAGTGTATTGGTTCTTTTAACACAACACCCAGTGTCATTTTGCATTCAAATCATACCTTTTTCTGTTCAGAATGTATACAAAAATAATAAAACACGTCTAGAAAGTAAAGTTAATCCTCTAAGATATATAAAACCATCGTAGAAGTGTTCATCTAAGCAGCTGAGAATGACCTTACCACTGATAATCGTAATTTTTATTAGAGATGCCAAATTATGGGCTATTTAACATGCTGACTTTTTTTTTTTTTTTGAGTTGTCCTGGGAATTGAACCCAGGTTCTCATCATGCATGCTAGGCTAGTGCTAACCCCCAGCCCAGTTGTCACATTCTTAAATGTAGTTATATCCAAACTGGTTGTGTAAGTAGTCATAGTGGCCTTGTTTTTGCCTTATTGCCCACAAAAAGTAAAATGTGGTGTAATATTCCTTTTGTTTTTATATACATACATGTATACATTCTTTTTTGTTATTTGTTGTTTTGAGACAGGGTTTCTCTGTGTAACAGCCCTGGCTGTCCTGGAGCTTGCTGTGCACTCAGCTAGCCTTGAACTCACAGACAACTGCCTGCCTCTGCCTCCCAAGACCTAGCTAGGATTAAAGATATGCGCCACCGCTGCCAGGTGTATGTAAGTAATCTTAATGTTCTTTTCTCAGTATCATGTAGACCATGCTGGTCCTGAACTCAACTAAAGTCAAGGATGACCTTGAACAACTGATCCTCCTGCCTCTGCCTTCTTAGTGGTGGGATAACGGGCTTGTATTCCATACTTAGCTCTTGTTCTTAGAACATTCTCTGAAGTAACAGCAGCAGCTGTAAAACCAGAACTGTTTGCTGTATTAGGCATTAACTCGACAGATGAGGCAGTTGCTGCTTGAGAGACGTTACTATTTATTGAGCAGCAACAGAAATACCATAGCTGTTTCCACTCTCAACTCTAACATCAAATTTGAATACTGACCAAAAATATAAAAATTGAGTAATAATCTCAATTCCTTAACTACCTAGGGCTTTAAAGTATTCTGAGAAAAAGTACCAAAGTAATCTTAAAAGTATTCTCAGGAAGCAATACTTTAAATTTTTCTGCTTTGAATAATTGCTTTGAGATTTTAAAAGCATAATTCTTTACCAAAAGAAAAAAATGTCAGATATAATGTAAGTTTATGGATTTAGGAATAAAGTGTATACATGTTTATTATACTGGTGGCCTGATTAGAGTGTGTGTTTATGACATTCAATGATGAGGGAAACAACATTTCTAATTACTTGCCTTCCAACTATTAGTGACTTGTACAAGTAGAATATACAGTGCTTTAGAGTGAGAGCAGTTTTGTTTTAAAACCAGTAAGGTTGAATGTGGCTTTTTTAAGTTGGAAATTTAAGCATTATGTACATCTATAAAATCCGATGTCAGTGTCCCATACCTTTAATTTAACTACATTTTTGCTGAAAACACTAAATTTACATACCAAATGATGAAACATAAGGTTATAATAAAAGTAAAAGAAGCAATCTTTTTATGTAAGGCATTATGGTATAGAATTATTCATTGACCTGGTATTTAAAACCCAAAGTTTTAACCTAAAAGAAACTGAAAGTAATTATTCAGTCTTCTGTTACCCGCTTCCTTTTGCATCTTTAATAGGTGTATATATACTGCATTAAATCTGAAATGCTTTGAAATACATAATCTTTTTTTTTTAATAGAACATATACAGAAAAATACACTACTATAGAGAGGATGTTGAAAGACTGGTATGAGCTGGATGGTGGCGCACACCTTTAATCCCAGCACTCAGGAGGCAAAGGCAGGAGGATCTCTGTGAGTTCAAGGCCAACCTGGTCTACAGAGTGAGTTCCAGGACAGCCAGGGCTACATAGAGAAACCCTGTCTCAAAAAATAAAACAAAAAAACCAAAAACCAAAACAACAAAAGACTGGTATATAACATTAAAAAAAATCATTTTTTTTTTTTTTTGTGAGCATAATTTCCTTTAATCCCTCCCTCCCCATTTCATAACAGTGTATCATTCTGAAGTTGAACCTGTCAAGTGAGTATAAAGTGATCCTGGATTTCAAGTCATTTAACATGAAAATGGAAATGTGAAGTTTTCTTAAAATTAGTTTTCATCTTCTGTCACATCTAATTCTTCGTCATCTTCATCTTCTAATTGTTGGTCCTTCCTTGTTCGACAGGTCGTTATCTGTTAAGAATTAACACATGAAAAAATAAAAACATGTTTTTACACATTTGGCATCTTTTTACGTGTCCTTATAGGAAAGGGAATGTAGAACAAATATTTCAGAAAATGACTAAGTTCCCTGTGAATTTTAAGATCGAAGTCTCCATTTATCAGTATATATGACGTTAACCATGTTTGAGTCCAGTAGTATGCTTCAGTAACATAAAGTTCCATTACTGTGTATTGTGAATGTGAAAGTAAGTTAAACAATCCTTGCAGTATCTGAATGAGAATCATCAAGTGGATGTCAGTCAGACAGCAATACTGACAATAGAAATAATGTAGAATGAGTTGAGAACCAACTCACTAGCTGTACATCTTATTCTTAGCTATCTTACCAGGTCAACCTCTCTGAGGGTTATCTGTGCCACCCAGGAGACACTGGGCAATGTTTGGACATTAGAGGTGGTCACATTGTGGATATGGATTGCTAATGACAGATGTTGCTCAACATCTTTACAGTACACATACGGACAGTATCTCTATCCAACCCCCAAGTACCTGATCTCAAGTTAGTAAGTATTAAAAATACCCTAGTATTCAAGACTTAGTTCTAAATAGAATTTTGTATGGAATACGTGTCAAGGCTAAAATAATAGAAATGTAATTTGGCTAAGGGGAAGAGATGATATAAAACAAACAATGCACAGAATCCAGTGACAGGAAGTTTGACCTTTAGCAGTTTTACCTAAAATTTGTATTTTGAGATTGTTTTATTCAGTTTTAAAATTCTGAGGCAATATCAGATTTTAGCACATTACAGTTATGGTTGTGACTGTTGATCTAAAGAGCTATGTGTCTGGGTCCATGAACATTTAGAAAAAGCCACGTTTGGCATAATTAAACTCACTGTTTGATTTTCGAATTTGTGTAGATACTAGACACAGCAAATCTACATTAGCATTGTTTTGTCTTTCCTATCTGTTTTTTCAGTGTTCTGCCTCACAGAGTAGTAGAGTGTGATTATAGAAACTTTTCATCATTTTCAGAGGAGGAACTGTGGCCAGAAATAATTAATACATTGTTTGAGGTCACATAGCAAGAGAAACCCTTTTAGTACTCAACAGTTCTAAAGGTGGCAACTCAGATTCCTTTACAGTTTTTTCAGCTCACCTGTCCAGTTCCAGATGTGCATTTAGCTGATACTGATCTCTGAAGAGGTGACTTTGAATTTGCTCTTACAATATCTAAACGAGATGGATAATCTGGTAGATACAGAGAATTTCGGAAAACCTATTGCAATGTAAAACAACATTATAAGGTAGATGCTAAATGAACATCTAGATAACCAACTTACATTCTTAAATGTGAGTTATTGTAAGCTTAAGAGGAAAAATTACAAATCTAATAAAGTTGGAAAAGAAGGATAAAGTTCCACTAGAATCATGCAAGTTGATAAAAGATGTACAGTAGTCATAAAATCATTTGATTGAGGCAATGGCAAACTAGTGTGTTACACATTTATCTTTGGTTCCTTTTGCTTTGCCTACTCACTGTAGGAGTATCACTGTGCACAGTTTACATTGGAGCCACCCTAACCCTAACATGGATACCAACATCATTCGAATCTAAACTTGTAAGTACTCTCAAATGTTGTCAGTGTTTCTCAGGCCTTCCTATCTTTTATACTTACCCCTTTTTTCTAACAGATAAAGAGTCAAACACCTCCTTCCAAACTCTTTATTCCACTTTTTTTTTTTAAAAGCAAATGCCATTCTAATTTTTTCCAATGTGTATTTTTCCTTCACTGGTTTCCACAGGTTCCCTCTAGAAAGTAGTTCTCAACCTTCCTAATGCTGAGGCCCTTTAATACAGTTCCTCAGGTTGTGGTGACCCCTAATCATAAAATTATTTTTGTTGCCACTTCATAACTAATTTTGCTACTATTATGAATCATTAATATCTGTGTTTTCCAGTGGTCTTAGGCAACCCCTGTGAAAGGGTCATTTGACCCCCCCAGAGGGGTTGCCATCCACAGATTGAGAACCCCTGCTCTAGAAACAAGCATCTACTCAGTCTTTTTTTTTTCTTATTTTATTACTTCAAGGTATAACTTTTAAAAACCTGATCAGTTACTTTTTACTTCAACCCCCTGCCCCCTGCGACTAGAATTGTACATTCATCCCACAAGAGTTGCTCATCAGAATCCCTAAATCTTTATCTTCCTCAACCCCAACTTTTCCTCTTGCCATGATGTCACAAGTCACTGCTATCTTGCTTCATCTGTTCACAGCCAAATCATGCAGAAAGTGCCGATCTCGTTTACTGCTTACCTCTTAAATATGGTTTAAGGGTTTTGGTCACTTAATTTTTTTTCCCTCTGCAGTGTTTAATGTCTTGCCAACTAATGAATTCTCTGTATACTTTTATTTAGACTAATAGAGTCCAATAACATGTTCTGAGATGAGGAAATGTTTGATGGCCAAAAAGGCCCTAGCTATGTGTGGCTGCTAACCACTTAGAATGGTTTGTGTGGGATTTTGATTTTTTTTTTTTAATGTTAAGAGAGCCACATAAAACTTGTCCTATTATATTGGGTGTAGCCTCAGTTTTATAATGAAAGGCTTTATACCTAGCAGTATGGGCAAAAACTTAATTTCTTACCTGAAGTACTTCTACATACTGACTATATACCTTTCTTCACAGCCTATTTAACCTGATATTACTGCAGACAAAATATCCTCAGCTAAAAATCCTTTTTGTGGCTCTTCCCTACCAGAGTCAAATGTTTCAAGTGACCTTCAGAAGCCTAGTGTCACTCAAACTTACAGAACTAACTTATGTGGGGGAATGGACATGATACTGTGCGTCTTTATTGCTGGTTCCTCAGCAGGACATCTCTGCAAATTTACCAATCCTTAAGAGCCAAGCCAAATGTTATCTTTCCCTTGTCTAGTAGCCAGCGGCTCCTATTCTTACTCTCAAGGGTAATTGTTATGTTACTATCTTTAATCAGAGGTCTCCACAACTAGCTTTACGTTTCTAGTGAAAGGAACCCTGTTTTATCTTTGCCACTCTTCCAAATAAATGGTGATAATTAAATTCACTTTTGCCCAATGAATGCTAACACAAACATAATCCCCATTTTGTGTAAGTAAAGAACCAAACTAAGGACTGTCCCTTACATTCTTCTAAGCCAGTGATTCTCAACCTTCCTAATACGGCGACCCTTTAACCATTCTTCATATTGTGGTGACCTCCAACCATAGTTATTTTGTTGCTACTTCATAACTAATTTTGCTGTTATGAATAGTAATGTAAATATCTGTTTTCTGATGGTCTTAGGTGACTCCTGTGAAAGGGTCATTCATTCCCAAAGGGGTCATGGCACAGGTTGAGAACCACTGTTGTAAGCCTTCCATACTGCAGAATACAAATGGAATCAAGGGGTACAATTTAGGATATAAGGACTGTATTTTAGGGTAGTTGAATAATTAAGTTAGCAGATTTTACATTGAGGTCACACTGACATCCAGGTATAAGAGATGGGTGGTTCATTGTCACCTAGTATTGAGAGGGAATATATTTTTGTTTGAACACTAAACTTTTCTAACAAAGAAACATCATATGGAACCCTTGAGATAAACTTTAAACAAGTATTAAGATGAACCCTTTTGCTGTAGAAACAACACATTTACAAAAGAATGAATGTATTGACAGTGTATTTCTCAACATGATCCAAAAATCAAGAAGCAATCACAAGATCTGGATATCCTCTCAAATGAAAGCACAAAAATTATTCTTGAAGTGGGCCTGAGAAATACTATTTATGTGAGGAACAAGATAGTTTGTAATAAGTGCAAAAAGTTAGCTGCTGCACCAATAAATGTATGGTTCTCATAAAGTATGACTATGAAGAAAAACAAGTTCTGTCCCTCTGCATTTTTCTTGTTTTCAAGAAATCTTTAGGTTATATGAATACATATTATTATACTTCCCCTGGTCCCAGAGTCATGTATGCTAGATGGTATAGGTTGAGGGCCATGTTTCCATTCATTCGTGCTAAATGTTTAAAGTACATTGCTCTTCGTTCACAATAGCCTAAGGACCTTTGTATTATCTATGCCATCATAAGGGTTTTGCTAGGGATCCTCATCTCAAGCTCCTTTGGCTTTAAGACTAGGACTTTCCATCATACACCCCACATGTTATGGGACTGGCTACATTATAAAATTTTAATGGCTACATAGAATTTTTGTCTTCTTTGATACCACTGGTAGATTGTAATTTGGTTTGACAATATAGACTATTTCTTATTCATGATCCTATTACTTAGAATGGCGCTTGGCATAACAGGTGCTGAACAAACCAGTTGTTGCTTGGACATCTTAGGTAAGTGGCATAATTTTTATTTTATCATGAAGATGAAGTAAAGAAGTTAATCAGTACTATTTCACTGGAATGTGAAGGAAACTGTTCAAAAATACATCTACTATACAACACCGAAACCTTTAGTTTTTCATCTGTTTTTTCTACACAACCTACTTAGCTAGCTGATTAAGAGCAGTGATGATTTATAAAGGACATATCTAGGGACTCTGGAATGAGGAGGAAAATTTTAAGGGCCAAAGAACTGAACTTGAGTATCAGTTCACAAGTCAGGAATGTTAGAAAAAGGAGATTGTACTTGGAAAGGGGACTCCAGTTTTGCAGGAAAAGTAGATCACTTGAGCCTGCTACTCGATGCAGGAAATGGTGCAAGTCACCACCCATCCTCAACTGTCGCTGTAGCCTTGAGTACAAAGCCTTGAGAACAGCATTCTGATAGACTGCTGGAGTCCACTCCCACCTGTGCCACTAAACCAGCTAACGACCTCTGGGAAATTTCTTCACTCTCAGTTTTTCTCATCCTTAGTGTGAGGACAAGTTTTATTAAAGTTGGTGGATTAATTAGCATAGTTAAGATACACAGATCTGTTCAAAGTGATGATTCCATAAATATTTGCTGCTATTTTATAATTGTCATGTAAAAGCCTGATAATCTTTTCAAGAAGAAAACGTCGTAGGAGTGGAGATTAAATGTTCGCTTGAGGACTTGAAGAGAGTGACAGTCATCTGTTAACAATGCATAAATGGAAAAGCACAAAAGACCAGTTACTTGGGTTACACACGACAACATAGATTATTACCCATACAAACTCAAACTCAGACATTTCCACACTAGCAGAAGAACTGAGTTTAGATGTAGGCCTACCTCTAGATCTTCATCCTCATCAATCTTTTGTATATTTTGGTATGCAGCAGTGAAGACCTCTAAAGCTTTGCCATGAAATAACATTTCAATTGTGATAAACTCAGAAAATATGTTCTGAAAAACAAAGATTGGAATTTTAAAGTCATTTAAGTTGTTTTTATGTACTTAAGAGTTTATTATAGAACCATAGAGTTTTATATTCTCCATTATATAGTCTTAGAATTTTATGAAAGAACAAGGTGTCGGTTTTTGTGCAGGACAAACCATAACTAAAATAAGTATGTGAAAACTTTTTATAGCAAAAAATTTAAGTTGTGCAAAGTGTTGCCTTAATCACTATTCACTTCTTTCTCTTTTAAAAAATTCTCTTTTTATGATAATTGACATTTGAATAAAGAAAAGGTGACTAAATGTGAATGACTATATACTCCAGTACTACATCCTATAAATATTCATGTTAAAGTTTTGAAGCATATTTTTAAAAACTATATAAGACTGGCTTCTGAGATAAGACATGAAACTATGACCAACAATAATTGTTACTCTATGATATACAACTCAGTATCATAATGAATAGGACTATGTTTAAGATACACTTGGAGCCGGGCGGTGGTGGCGCACGCCTTTAATCCCAGCACTCGGGAGGCAGAGCCAGGCGGATCTCTGTGAGTTCGAGGCCAGCCTGGGCTACCAAGTGAGTTCCAGGAAAGGCGCAAAGCTACACAGGGAAACCCTGTCTTGAAAAACCAAAAAAAAAAAAAAAGATACACTTGGGATTTCATATTGAGCATCTCCAGAGATAGACAGGGATACCTGAAGAGATTGAATGGCTTCTGACTAGGAATTAATTCCTTAATTGTCAGTTTCCCTGAGAAAGGGTCAAAAATCCACAGAAGAATGATGACATTGTTCTACTGTGTAAGGGTCACATTAGTAAGACTCGAGAAAAATGAAAACTTTTCAACAAAGGGGTATACCAAAAGAATGGAACTGAACCCTGAGCTCTTACAATGTGAACACTGGTGCACTGTAGACTGTACATGAACGAAAATGACAAAACTTAGAGGGAAGCTGAGAGAGGTCACCACCTGCTTTGGCAATGGATTTTTTAGCTGTGACACTAAACCACAAGCAACACAAGAAACTGAATAGATGTTACACAAATTGAAAATGTGTGTTCACATAACACCATCAAGAAAGCAAAGACAGCTAACAGAATGTGATAAAAACAATGACATCTATTATTTAGTAAGCAACTTGTATCCAGAATATGACAAAAACAAAAAAACAAAACAAAGAACCACCTTTACAACCTAATAGTGAAGATAATCCAGTTGAAAGATGGACAAAGAACTGAATGGGTGTTTCTCCAAGAGATATATATACAAATGGTCAGTAAACATTACTGAGGGCTAGGAGGTAGTAGTATACACCTTTAATTCCAGTACTTGAGAGGCAGAGGCAGGCAGATCTCTGAATCCCAGGCCAGCCTGCTCTATAGAGCGAGTTCCAGGACAGCCAGGGTTACACTGAGAAACCCTGTCTCCAAAACAAAACAAAAAAGAGTTACTGAAGATTTTGAAAACTACAGTGAGATGCTACTTTATACACACCAGTATGGCTATAATTAAAAATTCTAAAAAGTACTGAGAAGTCAAAAGAATTAGGAACCATTATCCAATGCTAGGAAGGATGTACAGTGACAAAGCCATCTTGGAACAGTCTGGCAATTCTACAGATAGTTAAGTGGTTACTGCATGATCCAGTGACTCTGCTCCTATTTCTTATATATACATAAGAAATGAAAATGGTGGGAGCAATTAAAGTAGCCATTAACTGATTAATGGATAAACAAAATAGTACTGTACAGTCAAATTCATTTGGCCAAAACCAATGAAAGAATGATGCATGCTACAACATGGATAAGCCTGCAAACATGCTAAGTGAAGCAGAACACACAAAAACTGTTCTTTTCATGGTGGAATGTCCAGACCCTATCCATAGAGACAAGCTCAACCGTGGTTTCTTAGAGCTAGTAAGCAGGCAGAGAGGTAAAGCTAAAGTGTATAAAGTTGAGATGATGAAAATGTTCCAAAACTGGTGATGGTGGTGCATACCCTAAGAAGCAGTGAGTTGTATGCTTTAGAATTATATCTACTTCAAAGGTGATGTTTTCTCCTCTTTTCTCCCTGTAAACACCAAGAGACATTTTCGAGGGGCACAATATTGCAGACAAGAGGAGGAACTTGGACACACTGTGTAGCTCCTCCATCTAGTTCTGCACTCACTTTCTCTGCCCTAGTTTTGTACTCAGGATTGAGCAGGAAAATTATAACACCCGTATATAAACACTTTATAACACTTGCATGTAGGTGGGAAACAAAGTGAACCCAAAGATCACAGATTTCACATGAAAAACATTTGCAGGTGCAAGGAAGGGTTAGTGGTTAAGTGGCAAAGGGAATAATTCTTCATTCTCAATGTTCAGGTCAATGCTAATTTTCTTAGAACTCTTAACCCTAAATTTGACAAAGAATGTCAGTCTTCCCATATTCTCTCAGCTTGGAAAAGATGTTTCTTTCAGAATACCCTCTTTAGATACTCTGAGCACTAATCTGCTATTACATAGCACAGTATAGACCATGTGACTTAATTTAGAGGCCAAAGCTCTGAAATGTTTTAAAACTATCATCAGGAAATATTCAATTGCTTTTAAAGATGAATTACCTACAAGTGTCAGATAATTCTTATTTTATTGACAATACAGCAAAAATAACAGCTGTTACAGGAAATTTGCAGTGAGCCAAAAAAATCCTTAATTTTTAATAGCATATAAAATGATCATTAAGCAGTATTTAAGATATTTCAAAGACGCCTAAAACAATATCATTAAAGACATGCTGAAAAGTCAAATCTGCAGGTTTGTCACACAATAAAAGCAGTTTTGAATATTTGGAACCAAACCAGTTTATCAATGTGGATACAATTTATGTTCCTGTCCTAATTAGAGTTACTATTCCTGTGATGAAACACCATGACCAAAAGCAAGCTGGGGAGGAAAGGGTTTATTTGGCTTCCACTTCCACATCATAGTCATTCATTGAAGGAAGTCAGGACAGGAACTCAAAGCACGAACCTCAAGGCAGGAGCTTATGGGAGGGGTGCTACTTACCGCCTTGCTCATCACAACTTGCTCAGCCTTTTTTCTTAGAGAACCCAGTACCACCAGCCCAGTGATGGCACCACTCACAATGGGCTGGGCTCTCCCCCATCAATCACTAAGAAAATGCTGTACATTTGGGTCTTATGGAGGCATTTTCTCAATTGAGTCTGCCTTCTTTCCAATGACCAGCTTGGGTCAAGCTGACAAAATTAGCCAGCACAGTTATTTTATTAATCTTTTTATAACTTTGAAAATAATGTAGCTGTTAATTTTATGCCATAGATATTAATAGCAGTCTACTATAATGGAAATCGCAGATTTAAAAGCACAACTGGTTTACAGTTCATATTTTTGGTTGGAGTTCCCTGAATAAGTTACTCTGTGTATTTGCTTACTTTTAGTAACTATTTTAAAGTTCAGTTGGTGTAAATGGAACACTTTGTTTAAGGTGACAGGAATGGTACATAAATACATATGTTAGCTCTGTTAAGAATACAGCCCCTTGATTCTGGCCCACAACTCCAGGAGAAGACTTCTGCTTTATCGGAGGCCATGCTGCCAACTAGAGATCACAGGTAAGATAATGCCCACTGCTGTAAGCTGCAATTCAGCTACTATCATAAAAGCTACTACTTAGAAAAGTCAAGGACTTCTCTAAAGGTCAAACCATGGCTTAAGAAGTCTTGGTGATGGTTTTTGTGTGTGTGTGTGTGTGTGTGTGTGTGTGTGTGTGTGTGTGTATTAGCTGGTTCCTAAGATGATTTTCTTGTGTGCTTCCAAGAACTCCTAATAGTGTATTTATCTAAAATGCCTATCAAGCATCCAAGGCCAAACGAAACAACACCTGTCTCCTAGGTCAGGCGGATAGCTTTATTTCTTGTGCAATTTAGGATGAGACCCTCCTTTCTTATACAGCCTTACTAAAAGACTCTTAACTTCTTACCTAACCACTTCTAGGAATGTAGACTGAGCACATAGATCCCTTTTTGATATACTAACCAGTCGTTAGCATGACCTTTTTTACCACTTCCCTTTTGGGTTGTAAAAGAAAGCCCGATAACAGTCACTGCCTGAGGAAAATTCTTACCTGCTTTTATGACCCCATAAGAATTCAAGCCTGGTGACCTTGCTTGACCAGCAGAAGGTTGCTATTGCTTGGATTTATAACTGGATTCCTGAGAGACTTAGGGAGAACTGAGAGAATAAGGAGATGGAGAAGAGGAGAGAGAGGAAAAGAGAACGGAAGAACTAGATGGGTAAGAACTAGATTAGAGGGCTAGAAGAGAATACTAGAGGAACAAGATGGAAGAAGAGGAAGAACAAGATGAGAAGAAGGAGATGGGAGAGGAGCTAAGATGGGAAGGAACTAGATGGATGAGAACCTAGATGGGGTAGAACTAAGATGAGAGCATTAAGACAGAACTTAGAGGGACAACAGATAAAGGTAGAGACAAATCAGGCAAGAAAGGAGCTAGACATGAGAGCAGAACAGAAGCTGTGTAGAGAGAGAACCATCACAGAATAATGAAGTGTATGGACTAAGGAGATTCATTTATTTTCATCAAAGATAAAATTATCATCTGGTTGTAGATTCTTCCTGGACTCTGGGAGGGGACTATCAAGGGGCTGGACCCCCATAGTCCTTGTTAGCCCACACAACAGTCCCCAACAGCACCCCTTCCCCTGGGCTCCATATCCCACAACTGAAGCAGACTTCTGCTTTACTGGAGGCCACAACATAATAGGAACCACAGAAACCAAGCAGGTACCCAGAACCCCAGAGGCTACACAGGAGGTACTTGGAAACCTAGAAGCAACATTGGCACCCAACACCCCAGAAGTTATGCAGGTAGCAAAAACCTCAGTGGAGACACGCTACTGGATCTAAAGACTCACTGGTCACCAGAACTCCAGGCCACTCAGGCCAGAAAACCAGAAAGGAAACAGAAAC